TAAAGAATAAATAAGTAAATAAACGAAGTGAATAAATAGTGAATGAGTGGATTGATAAATAATAAACAAATAGATAAACAAATAAATTAGTGGTAAATTGGAATAATAAGCAAGTAGATAAATAAATAAATTAATAAATGAATAAGTATATTAAATAGATAAGCAAAAAAATAATAAATAATAGATTACATGAATAAGTGAATGAATGAATCAATAAGCAAATAAATGAATGGATAAATAAATAAATAAGTAAGCGAATAATGAATAGAGATGAAATGAATAAATAGATAGATAAATAAGCAAATAAATAAAAGAATGGAATAAAACAGATGGATCAAAGAGTAGCAAATTAAATAAATATATATATGTTGAAATAAAAAGAATACATAAGAATATTAAAGAAATTAAATTAGAGCAAATGTAATTATAAATTATCATAGAAGCAAATAAATATAATAAAGAAAATAACAAACCAGAAACAAATAAACAATTGAAAAAGTTAAAAATGGGTATATAAGTAAAAGAAATTAAGTAAAAAAAAATTTAAATAAATTTGTGAGTGAAAAATAAATTTAAATAAATAAGAGTGCAAATAAATAAATTAAATGAATCAATAAATAGAAGAATAAAATAAATAAATGTATGAATAAATAAATTAATTGAATTAGTATTTTAATTACAATAAAAATAACAATAAATAATAAATTAATATATCTTACTAAAGTTGAAAGTGATAATAGTGTTTTTTAAAAGACATTATTATCCCAGCATTCATAGATTGGATTGCTAAAGTAGTATGTGGCGAGAGAAAGTAGATATCAGTATTATTTAATCTTATATCATCAATTTTGTGACTTGAACAATTGTCAAGCAAGAGAAGCACTCATTGATTTCTATATTTTAGTCTCATCTGCCTATCAAATTCCTTTAACCAATCCTAAAAATGAACTGCAAGCATCCATGCCTTAGCATTATTACAATATGCCATAGATAAGTTTTTGATATTAATATTTTTGAAGCATCGTGGATTAGCGTATTTTTTAATTACTAATGGGTTTAATTTGTAGGATCCATTTGTATTTGTATACAAAGCAATTGATATTTATTCTTTGTTTTTTTTACAACCTGAAATATGTCATGTTGCTAGTGTTCTGTCTGGTTCTAACCTGTAATTAAAATTATTTTTGTTTAATAATAACAATAATAATAATAATAAATAATAATAAATAAATAAATAAATAAAACTGGTAGAAAAGCCCTATTTCATCTATGTTATAAATGCATTCTAAAGGGTATTGATTACATTTTTCAAAATTGGTAAGATTTCTTCAATTTTAGCATAAGCAGCAGATGTTGCCTCTTTATGAAGTACTATTTGATGAATTCCATTACGATCTTTAAACTTTTGAAGCCATCCATTAAAAAATTTAAGCTGATTTTCAGAAATTTTAAATCCTTTTACTAGTAATTTGGCCTTTTTAATAATTATCGCATCACTTAAAATAGTTTGATCTTGATAAACTAATATAAATTCCTTAAGTGCAAGTTCTAATTCTGGAAAAGTAACAGGTTTATGTCATTTAGCATTCAGATTTTTTATTTCTGTTGCAAGATATTTATCCTTTGTTTGAAGAATTTGTATAATAGTGGATAAACTAACTTTAATTTTCCATTTTTGTTTAATCCATTGTATATATTCAGCTCTAGTTTTTTTATTATTATTTTCAACATATTTGCAAAACTCATACTTTTGAACATCTGTTAAAGATTCATACTTTTGAGACATGTTGATTAAAATTCTTGATGCTTATTATCTTTATATAGTAAAAATTATTTATGATGAATTTATGATATTATTTAGTTACATATACATGTCTATTGCAAAAATTATTTATATATAAAAATTAAGCTATAACTAGTGTATAAATAAGCCAAATTTGTTTTTTTTTTTTTTTAGTGTTAAGGTGACCTCTATAGCCAGGAGCTTTTTATTAGATAATTAACAATATTTACAATTATAATAAGGATACAACTAGCTACACGTACAACTTTTGGTTGTCTATTTAAGTAGTCTGCCCGAGTTCTACACTAGCCACCATATTTGCAATCTAACTAGGAGATTATCTATTTAAGCTTTCTGGCTTTTACAAGTGAGAGTATGACTAGCTATACTTGCAACTTTTGGTTGTCTATTTAAGTAGTCTGCCCAAGGTTCTACACTAGCTGCTATATCTGCAACCCAACTAGGTGATTATCTATTTAAACTCTCTGGTCACAACCGGCTCATTATTTCTTACCTAACCAAGATGTAACTCACTATTCATATACTAGATTTTGCAATACCTATAGATTTCACACCCTACCTAGGACTACTTTATCCTCAAGGTAAACCTAACAGAGTGGTACATGTCTCATACATGTATTCACCTGCATGTTCGGTAACTTCTTTCTAATCTAGTACCTGTTGTGTTGCCACCACCAAGTTCATATCTCAAGCTATTTTTTAGGATACTGCTATAACCTGATCTGTATCTCAAACCACAATCTTCCTATTTTAGTAGTTGTTACATACTCCTTTGCCCTTGTATTTGGGTTTGCACAACTCCAGCACCCACATTTGAACTTTTCTTCATTTCCAGATTCTTTATTAGTTTCTCCCTTATTTCCAGCTAGCAACCTGGAAGGGTTGGTTCACCTAGACTTTAGGTATTTATATAGTCTTCCTTCCCTTGGTACATGCTTCCAGAGCACATGTCCTTTTCTTCCGGTTTTGGCATCCCGGCAGTTTAGCTAGTATGTCCCCCTACTTAAGGACCTGGTCGCTTGGTTCTCTGATCTTAGTCTCTGGTTCTAAATTCGGTTCTCCTGTAGTACTGTTGAAGATTGCGCTACCTCCTGACTCGGGACTTGCCAAACGGGTTTCAGTTCTTCTGGTATCTCAGATTTATTACACCAAGGCTCCATTCTAGATGGTGTAATCGAGATTACAGATTTCTAAATCCTACCAATCATTGAATAGCTATTAATTATATCACAGAGCTATTTTTCAAAAATGTCATCTATGAGATTTGAACTCTAGACCTGCCATCTGGAGTGTGACAACTCTACCACTTCACTAAGTTGCCACACCTTATAAGCCAAATTTGTTTTTTGTTTTTTTTTGGTATTAAGATGAGGCCTTGCTCATATCTTTATTGAGTAGTTTATATAAATAGTTATATAGAATGACTTCATTTGTATAATAACAAAAAATATAAATTATATGCAAGAATGGGAGCTCAGACTAAAAACTTAGCTAGGAGGCTAAATTAGTTATCTGCAACCTAAACTTACTAAAGTAGTCAAGACTCACCTAGATTTTAATAGTAAGTATGTGGTTTGTATATATACTGTATTGAATCCATACTGTGGACTATTGCTCAAGTTTCAGCTATACCTGCTCTTTGGGAGGGCAGGTGCTATTTTCCTCATGCAATTGGTCTGCTATACTACAAGGGCAGCTGTAAGTGTATTTTTTCCACTGGCGCTTGGTGTGGATATGGGCTTGTATTGTCTTATAAGCCAAATTTGTATGCATTTAGCATTATAGTTCTAATTAAAATTTTTTAAACTAGTTTATTTAGAGAGGGTATTTATTTATAGAAGGTGTTTTAATATAAATATTTTTAAAATTTCTTGCATATTTAGAATAAAGAGGGTGTGCAATTATTATTATTTTCCAAGCTTGGGACCAGAATTAAGAGTTCATTTAAAGAGGGTGTGCAATTATAGAGAGTACAATTATAGAGGTTTGACTATATTAATACTATTATATAGAAGTAAATTAGTAAAAATATAACAAATTTATTAAATAAATTTGTTTTATTTCTACTAATATATCTTTATATATTAATTACTTAAGTATTAAATAAAGTTTGGAGCAAGTACTACATTCTGAATATTAAAAAAAAATAAATAAATAAAATAAAAATTTGGCTATATATATAAAAAAAATATAATAAAATTTTAAAAAATATAATACTATAAAATATAATAAAATTTAAAAAATATAATAAAATTTCAAGCTATTAACCAATTAGAATTTAGTATTTTGGTTTAAATTTAACTACTTTTAAAAAAGTTATTAGTTTAAAAATACTTGTATTATAGTCAAAAAAAATATTTTAATACTAAAAAATATATATATATATAAAATAGAATTAATAGAAATAAGACAAATAAAAAAAGATTTTTTAAAAATATCTTATGAAAAAGTGATTAACTTAGTATAAAAAAAAGTTTTAGAGCAGGTATAGTGGTTTAGTAAAGTGGTCTAGTTATCACTTTACTAAGTAGCAAGTCTAAAGTTCAAATTTCACAGATGATATTTTTGAAAAATAAGTTTATATTATAATAACAATTATCTGTTGATTAGTTGGATTCTAGAACCTGTAATCTTGGTAACACCATGTTTATTTGTTTTTTTTTTTTAAATATTAAGGTAACCACTTAGGCTCCTGGTATATAGCTTTATTCAAATAGTTATAATATTATATCAAGTTTACAAGGATATAACTAGCTATATATATATCTTTTAAGTATTTAATTAAGTAGTCTGCAACTAAATTATTTTTAATCTAGAGTTTTACACTAGCTGTTATATCTATACATGTTGGCAAAATTTTGACTTACTATAGTTTGGGATTTGTCCATCATCTCAAATCCCAAATCCCAAATTCTAGCAAAGCTAATATCTTAAAATCTTTATTAATAATCTTTATTTAAACAAATTGTATATATTAATATAGTTATAAATAATATATTTATTTACAATATATTAAAATTATTTATTTGATTTAACCTTTTATAAATAGCAATTGTTTTTTTATTATTTGAAATTTGTCTGGGTTTTGCCAGCAAGCATATGCAGAATATTATATGCTTAAAAATTTTTTTTCTTGTGACACTGGCCTGCTGCTGTGTAATATACCTGGGTCTTTTGTAAGTTTTTTGTTGGGTATTTTGTATTAGACCCCAGGTCTTTTGGTCAGTGCACTATGGTATATTTATTTTCGTTACTCTCTTTTTTTTAGATCAAAAAAATGTTCAGTTCCATGTATTTGAAGATCATATAATGTATTAGTTTCGTGGATGCATTTATTTAGCAGCTTTTCGAAGAGCAGCCCAAGATTATGATGCACCAACTGAAGCTAAAACAAGAAAGATGCAAATAGAAGGCCTTATCAACTATTTACAAAATAATTATTCAGGCTGTTGGCCCAATATGTATTGGACAAAGGATGATACAGAAATTATTTTGCAAGAACCAACTCTTTGTGATTTATTTGAAAGTCGAATTAATGAATTTTGAAAGCTTCTTGAAACAATTCTTCACACACCTCACGGTTAAGAGATTGTTATATTCAATCGAACATCTCAAAATGAAGCATTTAATAGGGTAAAATTGGTATATACAGACAAAAAAATTGATTATTGGCAGTTATATTCTGCACATCATGCAATAGCTATATTACATTACAATGAAGAGTACACTTATTTATTTTCTGAGCTTTGAAAAATTTACTGTGGGAACCCATTTGAAATTGAAGACTTACTTAATATTAGTTATGTAAAAAATAAGCAGTATTCAAAACAACAATGGAACATACATAAAATATTGTATCCTAACAAAATATAAGTTGAATATTATGCCAATGAACATAAGAAGTTAGGTAGTTTTAACCTTGATAAGGTAATTATAATTAATAAATATTATAATTTCGAATATCCAAGCATTTATTTACCATTATAATATAACAATATAGAAATTAGTTAATTATAAGAATAAAGCACTAGATCAACTTTGTGATAATGAGTTTTGTCCATCTTTCACTTTTTCAATCGTGGATTTTGATGTAATGGTGCGATATATTTGCTGCCACTTCTTTCTGAAGCATTCCAAAGGTCTATGTGTATTGTGTCATACATATTAAATATTTAGTTGGAATGAGAGACTTATAAACTCGAATATAATTTAAGATAAAGTACATCAACTTATAAGTTTAGAACAACATATTGAAACAATTGCAAAAAAAAATTTTAAATATACAAATTTAAAATCAGAACAAATAGAAGCTATAAGATATTATCTAGAAGAAAAAAAAGATACACTTGTTATTATAAAAACTGGGTATAAAAAATCCTTTTGCTATATAGCTTCCACTATTCTCTTTAATGAACTCACAATCATTATTTCACTATTAAAGTTATTAATTCAAGATCATAGAAAATTCAGGTGTTAAAATTATGTGTATTTAATAAGATAGGAGGCAGGGTGATCTAGGGCATGCCCATAGGGGCATGCCCCCCAGGCATGCACAGGGTCATGTCTTCGAACCAAAAGGCATGCCCCTATCATCTGATTATCTATGCCTAATTACGTAAAAATAACACACTTAATTGTCTATTATCAAATACATACCGAATATATCAGATCTCAAATCTTATTGCTGTAAAATTAAAAATTAAATAATTAGACTAGAAATCATATAGATTAGAAAGGATGGAAAAACAAATGAATAAAATTAAAGAAAAAAAAAGAAGATCTGAAGAAACTTTAAAAAATGCGAATAAAAATGCTTGAAAAAGTGAAGAAAAAATGCAAGCAGATTTTCAAAAACAGATAAGTAATTTAGATAATCTGACTTTTCAACAGTTGAAAATTTCTATTTTTTATAACAACCTACACCGAGGTTTATAATTTCAAGTTTAAAAAACTAATGCTAATAGAAAAAAAGCAGATCACCC